GATCAGGTACTGCCAGCTTCTGTTGGCGTGGTACAAGGAGCCAGTGTATTAGGAGGCAAGTTAACTCCTCCCCCTCTAACAGATAGATTAGGAGCCTTAACTGAGCTAGCCCTGCTCACGTGGTTTGAGTCGAGAAACACCACAATTACTGTAATGTCATCGTGGAAATGCCGCCGGACACCACGGTCAATCTTCTTCAAGTCTGAATACCTCATTTCTCTCTTCTTTGCTGCTTCTTGTAGAGCAGTTTTGACAAGCCTCCTTGCAATTCCCTGCATGAAGTCCACAACAAAATGTTAATTTTCTCTTCTCTTTTAGAATCCTGTTTTAAGTTGAACTTCCAAGTCATCAATAAAATGCAAATGCAACAATTTATCTGTAAATGAATTTATAACTCAAAATCACACAACAAGGAAAATGAAATAAACAACTATTACATGACAAAGAGAACCTTGTTCCTACCCCCTCTATACAACTACAAATGCTCGAGCATGCATGTGTGCTACATGTGTCTGAGTAACTTGTCCCACATGCATGCATGCAGTAAAAACCACTCAAAAGAAAAGGCACACTGTTCATAACAGAGCATATTGCCTTTCATAATTGGTCTAGATTGAATAAAATGTGAAGTAGAAACTTGTGTTCAAACTGGTTGACTTGTTCTAGTTGAGCTATTTTGCTTATGAATTAAAGTGGTAATTATCAAGCAGCAGTAATAGGATGGAAAATTGAACAAGCAGTCATGGCTCTTAAGTTATATGCCATAGCTCACACGACAAAAGGAAAGGTTCTCGAGATAACTAATTAATTCTTCATTAAAAACTAGAACTCCAAAATCTATCATCAGTGACCAACAAGAAAAGCTTTCATAATCTTAACCAAATGAAAGTGTCAGAAGTATAGGAGAAAAGAACACTGTTCATAATAAGATTAACAATATTTAACATTCAGGCATAAACTTACACTTCGTGGATGATTTTGAACTATATCAACAGCTTCTTGATTGCTTAGGTGCTCCCAGAGCCCATCAGATGCAAATATCACGAATTGGTCATGTGGCTGCAGCTGGTGCACTGATATCGATGGGTCTGCACTCAATATTGGCTTTTTGAAAGGTTCCCGAAGGCGAAATTTGGGATATAAAGGCTCCCTGTTGAACTCAGCTTTTTTTAAATATACATCACCGATAGATCTAGAAACCTGAAAGGCCAAGAATTCCATTAATAAACTCTCACAAAAAGTAAGAGGCAGCAGAACAAAGCATGGAAAACCATAGCAAGGAAATTATAATCTTGCACTGCTGGACAGATTGCATGCACTTGTGAAATGTACTAAACCTCTCTCTCTCTCATTTGGGGGGAACAAGGGGTTGTTTTTAGTAATCTTATCACAGATAGAATTAAGACAGGGCACACATTCTGGTCAAGTTCAAGGTGTGACAAAACCTAGTGCAGTTGTGGCAGGAAATTTGCACATAAAGGAGAATTGCCCATGGCAGCAATAGAAACTCTTCACATATGAATCCAAGAAATTAGTCGTGCTTTTAGGTTCACAATTTTTTTTATGAAGCTTTATAATATTTATAAAGATTCGATTGAAAAATGAGACCTTGCTTGGAAGTTTCTCAACCAATTGACCAAGCATCAGAAATCAGTTTAAATCATCACTCAGAATTTTTACTTATAATTCATTCTCTCTTTAAAACCTGGAAACCATATAACTGTAAAACACGGGGTAATTAAAACCTAGCACGTCAGGATATTTCCTTTCACCAATCCTCTTTGGAAACAAAGCTCATATACCTGTACAGAGCTGAAAAGCCATACAGCTAAATTGATTCCATAATAAAGCCTAAATTACAAAAGTAACCAACTCCAGGATCACAACTGAGCTTATTAGTTCCAGATCTGGAATATATGGATAAGGGTTATCCACGGATAACCATCAAATCACTTTCTTGCAAGAGATCAACATACAATCCAACAAAATTTTTAGATTCCATCACTTTATGCAACAGTAAATCATGCTATTTTATCCCTTTCCATCAACTTTGATAATTACTAAGTTCTCTCATAGTCAAAGATTTTCTTATTTCCCTTTCTCTTTTGGCTTTGCAGATATATCCATGCATCCAACTGAATAATGGGCATCCTTCCCCTCCTCAGCTCCACCCTATCTTTACCACATGGGAGGAGAAGATACCATGCAGCAGATATATCTTTTTTTTTCTAACAAATTAAACCCCATTTTTCTCCAGAAAACTGCCCTCGGAAATGTAATCATATAAATACATCTTCACTCCAGAAACATTAAAGACCTGTTTTCAGTTTTCACTTTTCAAATAGTAAGCAAGAATAGATAAAACATTGCCCCAGGCTCATGCCTTTCTTTAAGAATTTATTATAAATCAAGATAGATAAAACAAACTTTCAAATATTCAGAATTCATAAACAGCATACTATATAGTGCTCAACTTGGACAAGAACTGGTTCGGCTCTCTATGCATTTTGTGGCACAGATGAATAAAAGTAGTACTTGCTCCTTTTTTTTCAAATGGCTATTCTTGTAGACAAAGGTAATTTAAGCCATAAGTAGAAGCAAGTTTCAATGTCACAGATACGCAAAAGCATCAATGTTTAGAAAATGGTGACATTAACTAGTCATCTTAGCAGTTAAGTAACTATTAAAATTAAAAATTGTTTGCATAGTGAAACTTACCTGTATGAGACCT